GTCCTGCCTTCCAGGAGCGAGCAGCTGAGCTCTGACAGGTGGTGACTCAGAGAGAGGGAAGCAGGGCTGGAAGCCAACCCCCGGAAGGTCTTTCCTGAGGACAGGGCAGTGAAGCTGCGCTTTGAAGCTGAGCCAGGCTTGAGACGAGACGTAACCCTATGTCAGCCGTGCCGGGAACTGGAGCTGGAAGTCCTGCAGAGGGGAGGGGCTGCAGCCAAAAGGGAGGCTTGGGAGAGGGCGGGGGAGAGGTGGGGTAGGGCTGCGCAGAGCTGCTCAGGCTGTGCACACACACTTGGCACACATGGGTCTCGGGCGGCCTAGAGGTTGGTGTATGTACCAAGTCCCCAAGTGATACAGGTGCTGCTGGCCCAGGGAGTGTGACCTGAGAACGCCCGGGCTAGCCAGTGGAGAGCCTAGGAGCCACCACTTCCTTCTGTGGACACTGGGAGCAGCTGATGCTTCTGGAGTGAGGGGGAGATCTGGCCAGAGCTGTGTTGCGAGGACTGGCAGGAAACGGAGGAAAGTACAGGGTCATTTGATGTCTGGAGGGAGGTGCTTTTTGTTTAAAAGAGTCAGAAGAGCGTGCGCAATTGCCGGGCAAATTCCCCTTTCCCCTACCCCAGGTGCTCCCGGAGCCTGTGCCCTCTGTGCCCCTCCCAGACTCTGAGCGCTGGCGTCAGGAAGCTCAGGGTGTGTTTGGTACGTCCCAGCCTGGCCCTTTATCCGCAAGGCCTTTCCCGCCTCTGGCTCTTTCAAACCCTGACTCTTCTTCACCCTAAGATGCCCCAAGACACCGTTCTTTATTTTCCTACCTCCCGCAACCAGGCTCGAAGCCCTCCAGCCCTGCACCTGTGCAGCCCTCCCCATCACAGCGTCCAGGCGGGGGTGCAGACTGCAGATGTGGGCTCCCAGCAGGCCAGGCCCCTCCCTCCCGGCCCCCACTTCAGCTGGGGGTGGGGACAAAACCCAAACTGTGTATTTGTTTTGGGAGGTGGTGCTTTTTTGCTTTTTTATAAAAGGTTAGGAAAGTAACCCAACACTGATGTTGATTTATTTATTTATTTTTTTGAGGCGAAGGAAGGAATTCTGCTCTCTTTTGTGAATAATAAAGATTTCATTGGAGCAGTTCTTCTAATAATTTCTTTTAAAAATGAAACAGAATATTCGATCTCTAGATCTGTGATTCTTAATATTCAAGGACATCTAGCATTTTTTTAATAGTTGTGATCTAAACCCTGTCCTTTCCAAAAAAAAAAAAAAAAAAAAAACGACCTAGCACATAAAATTATTCTAAAAAGTTGAAGTAAGTTTAGTACATGATTTGTGAGAAAGGATGTCAGGGGACCCCTCCATTAGAATGAATAGTTTCATCTGGAGTACCAGAAGACCCACTGTTAATATTGTCAATACCATGCCGCTTTGGTTGTTGTGTGAAAGGAATGTTAAATATAATCTAATTAAAGATTACGTTTTGGGAGAATGGTAGTGGCGTGGGAGAATGGTCACAAACAGATGTACCAGGAAAAGAAGGGTGCCCGCCAAGCCTGCAGGATGGAAGGAAATGCACAGAATCGTGTCTGTCGTCCTGTCCATAGCACCCGCAGTGCTAGGGACCAGGTGGTTTAAAGCCACCTGTGTCTGTCTGTCTGTCGGTGTGTCTGTCTGTCTGTCGGTCTGTCTGTCTGTCTTGTGCGGGAGGAAATACCACAACCTTATTGAAAGGAGGATCTTCAGTCTGCTCCTGTCCACCTGGAGGTGGTTGCTGCTGAGCAGAGGGACCATAACTGTGGGTGGGCTCCAGGTGGCGCCAGAGTGCTCTGTGCCCAGCTCCCTGGGACTCAGATTGAGCGGGCAGCTGCCCGGGTGGGATCTCCCTCCTCATCCGCACAAACCCAGCCATCCCAGAGGCGCTAACACACAGAAAACAGCCTGACCCTGGCTTGATTCCCGGACATGTTCATTAGGTACCAGGAAATTCAGAGAACTTCAAAAAAAGCACACCTATTTTAGGAAAGTTGCACTGTCCCCAGTAACCGGTGTTATCTTCAGTGATAGCAGGAGCATAATCCTTTTCACTGTGTGTCTTCCTTTGTTTCTTTTTACAAACAGCCCTAGTTAGTATCATAACTGCTGACTACACCTTCTTGAAATCGACACATGTAGCTGTGCATTAAAAAGGAGCTTCCAGGTTTGTTTTCCTTTGTTCCTTGCCTGCTAGAGCATTGCCCATTATATTCAGACAGTTCTCAAAGACGTGAGCCAAGTGAGATGCGTGTTGTCAACGTGCAGACATCTCACCTTCCCTAGCGTGGTTCCCTTCCTGCCTGTGACGACCCCCGCCGGAGCTGCCCTCGTGCATTCCCGTGCCATGCCATCAGCCTCTGGGGCTCTGGAGCCCCCAGTTCTGGTCCCAGGGGATGATTCATTTTCTTTGCAACAGTTCTGTAAACTGAAACTTTGTGTCTTCAGAGAGGGAAGTGCTTCCTGGGTATCTTCAGAAGCAGATCGAAGGTTGATACTCTCTATTCTGATGATCTCTGCTGCATGAAAAGTTGCCCCAAAATTCCTGGTGTAAAATAGAATTTCCAGTTGTAAAATTATATTGACACAAAGCACTTGACCTCTATGGAGATACCCAGAAGCATGCTGTGTGTTATGGCTGGTTATTTTCACATGAAGGAGCTGCTATAGAAGCTCTCCAAAAGGTGGTCATCTGCACTTTAGGGGAAGGTGGGGAGGGAGGCTGTGTAGACAGTCACTTGGTAGCAGGCACTCAGGCAGCAGCAGTGTTCTTACCATGCAGGTTGGCTCAACACACCTCTAAGGGCAGCGCTGCCCCGGGAACTTCCCACAGTGCCGGGAATGGTCCGTATCTACACCGTCCAGCACGCAGCCACTGGCCACACGTGGCTGTGGAGCACTTGTCATGTGGCTGGCATGACTGAGAAACTGAACTGTGGATTTCATTTCATGTTGACCAGTTTAAATAACTGCTGTGGCTAGTGATTACCAGATGGAACAGCAGAGCTCTAAGGGGATGAGTAACTTGGCTCCTAACCTAACCTGTGACTCGGGAGGGGCCACACCTAGGGTTGAAGCACATCTGTCTGGGGCCAAAGCCATGAATCCAGGCTGGGCACAGCAGGGACAATGACAGGGGCCTCTACAGGGGTGTCCTGAACTGCTGGAGATGTCCAGAAGTTTCAGGCCTTGGTTCTGGCTGTTGGCCGGATCCTCAGTATCTTGCCATGTCCCCCCTTCAGGGGCCACAATGTACAAATGGCCTCTCTCCCTGCTGTGTCTGGTGCGTGGGCTGAGACGCCGCCACCACCACCACCCGGGCTGCTTGGGCTCCCTCACAACATGGCGTCTCAGGGTTGTTGGACTCCTCATAGTCTACCACACATACTTTGTGAGAACAAAATCTGTCCCTGATATTTTTATATGTGCTTGCTAATGGTAGTTTTTCTGGGAGAACTTTTATTCTACGCGTGGAGAACTGCTGTCCCACTCATCCCCACTAGCGGCCCAGTTTTCTAGTGGGGCGTGTGCAATGGCGTGGCTATGAGTGTTAGGCATCTTCTTTTCCCAGCCTTCTCCCCCCACCCCTTTGCCTCCGGTTTCAGTCAGTCTAGTTTATTTCCTTCATCAGTTAACTATAGAGGAATATGAAAGAAGTCGTGGACATCATAGCACAGAAAAAGCCAGCTGAAAATGAAATTCACGCAGCCAGAACCTTCCTTTCGAGGATTTTGAGAAATTCTATGAGGTACGGTCTGGGTTTTACAATTCCTGCCCTTCTGTGGTGTGATGAATTTGTCTATTTTATGCTTTCTCTTTGGTTCACGGGAAACTATTATTATAAAGTCAACACCGTCCACATTTTGCCACCCATATACTTTTCCTTATTGAAATGATCTGACTCATTAAAAGATTTTTGTTATGAATGCTTTTTTGTTTTATTTTGTAAGATATTCCTTGTTGCATATCAGTCTTTAATATTTTGCCTGTTGTGAAAAATGTTTGATTTCCATAAAGTACCTAAGGAGACTCAGTTGAGCTCTTTCTCCGTTCTCAACTGGGCTGTCAACTTTCCAAAGTGAGGTCATTTCTGTCCCAAATGAGAGAAGAGACGAGTACAGCTCGCTTCGTACTGTAAAGTGGGAGAGGAGTGGGTCTGCACGCTTGGCAGCATTCTCTCGGAGGCTCTGTCACCTCACTGACATCCGTAGGGATTCCAACCGGACGCACCTGTTACACCTGGGCAGGTGTGGCCAAAACACTAATAAGCCCCACGTCAGGTGGGGTGCTGTGGCTTGGGAGCGCGGAAGGCTCATCTCACGTTCAGAAGCCCTGTCTAGCAGGGAGTCGAGCCTGCTGCTCTGGGGCATCGTGATTCTCGGCGGGGACCGCTGGTTGACTCCACAGGTGCACATTGAGAGGCTCAGGGGAGGATGCGTCTCCTGGTCTCAGGGAACTACCAGCCAGCTGTGGTTACTTGGTTACCTCGGTAAATAGATAAGCAGCCTGAACCCCGGGTGGCCCAGGACTCACTGACCGTTTTTCCAGGCGAGTCCCTTCTCCGTAAGGAGCCAGGGCCCTGAACAAAGCTGTGCTGAAATGCAAAAGAGAGGAGATTCTGTTTTGGTCATACTGGGGCAGGAGAGGGCACCATCTGCTCACTTTTTTAGAATCAGTTTTATGTCTCTTTACGCTTGTAAAACGTTAAGTTGGTAAATGATAATCGTGCATATTTGCGGAGGAGTAAATTTTAAAGAGGGCTGCTTCACACTTGGAGCGTGTGATTCCCGCTCTGCATTAGGGCAAATTGGCGCTGAACAAAAACCTAGAAAGAACGTGTGCGCGGTTTCAGCAGGCAGCCCCTGAGTGCGAAGCTGCACACCTGCCCGCGTGGCTGTGGCCATCTGTCCCTGCACTCCTGTCTTGGCAGGAGAACGTCCAGTGTGTGCTGTCCCTGAATTGCCTGCCTTCTTTTCCAGGAAGAGTGAGCCGAGCTGGAGGCCTCACTCCTGGCACGCCACCAAGTTCTCTGACAGCCACGTCGAGCCGGTGGCCTCTCTGTTCCCCTCTGACAGCGGCTGCCCTTCCTGGCACGGCCGGCACCATGCGAGGTAGGCGCTCGTTCCCCTCGAGGACCCCAGGTATGGTCGGCATTCTGCGGACACCTGGGCCTTGCGGCCCTGTCAGGAGAGCACAGGTGTTGACGTCAGGATGATTGTCATGTTTCTGATGAGACAGGGCCATGGACACACAATTATAGTTAGAACTCTCTAAATTTTTCTCTGAGCAGGCAAGTGTGTGACGCTGACGCAAAATAAAACAGCAGGACGGGCCGAGCAGGCATGCCCTCTGCTGTGTGCTGTTGAAGTGAGGAGAGCCTCCGACTTAGGTTTCGGTGCAGTGCCCTTGGGCAGCCGACGGATGCCAGGCAGTGGGGCTCTGAGCCAGTGGGGCTGCCATTTGTGGCACCGACATGCCCACAGCCACCACCACCACCTTCTTTCGGTGTTGTTACGTGTGGATTGGAAAGCAGAAGATAGTTACTGGGCAGCAGACCTGTTTTGTGCAAGCTCCTTGGGTGGTTCTGATAAGTGTCTGCACCCTGTCCTCCCCTCACTAGTCTCCTGCTAGGATGACGGTAACAGCGGATAGCGTGGTTTTGGGGTGTGTGTGTGCATGTGTATGTCCCCACGCTCCCATGTATATGAGTGTGCATGTGTATCAGTGTGTGTGTGTGTGTGTGTGTGTGAATGTGCGTCTGTATCCGTGTACCTGTATGTCCATGTGTGGGTATACATGTGTGTGTATGGGTGTGCATGTGTATCTGTGTTGAAGGAGCTGCTATAGAAGCTCTCCAAAAGGTGGTCATCTGCACTTTAGGGGAAGGTGGGGAGGGAGGCTGTGTAGACAGTCACTTGGTAGCAG